CCCCCCCCCCTCGGCTATCTTAGCCCCCCTAAAACCAGGTACGTCACTGATATAAATACTCCTCTATGCTTTTCGTGTTTACAACTTAATGGCAAAAGAGACGTCGACAATAGTTTGTGGGCGGGTATGTGTTGAAAAAAACGTCTCTGCATGAAAATATAATAATAGCTGGAAAATAAAACTGAAAATGATTGAAACAGCGACAAAGTAAGCTACTTCATGTCATTAAAACTTGCTATGTGCTTTAGTGTCAACGACCTTGTTTTTAGATTATTAATGCATTCTTGTATGAAAGTTTGAACAAACTGAATGACCATTTCTGTATTATACACAATCTGCGAAGAACGCATCTTTATATGAAAACAAAGCACCATTATGCAAACAGTCACACAATATTTATTTGCCAATGAAGTTCACTTTTATAGAATTAATTTTTATATATGCAGTGCTTAAATCAGTACAGTATAAAGAAGGTATAGCTTAGGATAACACGCTACATGCATTAATTAAATGATACAATTAAATGTTACAGGTATAATATTGATAATTAAATAAGTTCTTATCGACCACTAAATCATCATGTATCACATTATTCACCCAATACGCCGCGCTTTTTTCCAGCAAATCTCCACTGATCAGCACCTTCAACCTCAGTGTCTTTCTTTCGTCCACCGAATCTCCATTGATCGCCTTCAGTGTCCCTCTTTCGTTGACCAAATCTCCATTGAATTGCGTCTTCTCCCTCAGTGCCTGTCGTTCGGCCACCGAATCTCCATTGATCAACTTCAGTATCCCTCTTTCGTCTACCGAATCTCCATTGATTCCCTTCATCCGCCGTATTCCTGCCCCCGCCATTGAAATTCAACAGCCTTTGAATGAAGCCTTTCCTTTCCCTCCTTACCTTATCGTGTCCCTTTGTTTCGCCAGATTTCCTTCGATCCATATATACAACGTCAGTTCCGCTGGTACGAGAAAACTTTCGTTATTCGCTCTCTTTTTTCGGTGCGGATTTTCTCGCCACTGAATTCCCTTCCAGCCACATTGTCGCTTGTTCTATCGGTCAGATTTCTTGTAAGTTTACTTCTTCTGAAAGTTTCTTGGTTAGACTCCTCAACGATTTTCTTTTCTCTTGGAGATCTTAACAATGCTGTTTCCTGCTTAGACTGATTCATTTCAGAATGAATCAATTCACTTCCAGTGGAAGAAGCTTGAAAAATAACCAATGACATTGTTATAAGCGTGTATGAAGACATAGTCATACTGTCCTGGCGTCAACGTTTCTAATTGTGACAACAAATTCAGTTTAAGACTAGACTATATATAGTCACACGCCTTAGTAAATGTTACCACATGTATAGACATTAATTCGACTATACGTGCAAATGAAGTAGCAATTTTCAATGCATTAAAACTTGCGATAATTTGCGTTTCGTTTGATCCGGGTTTAACAGGAGCAGCAAAACAAGAGCGTTGATTTTAATGTTTAGTCGGTCTTCTTTTATTGCACAGAGCTTCACACGCCTCCAATCATTGACTTTAATTGACCTGTTTCAATATTAATATTTAGTGATTTATCAGGCTTTGACTTTAAAGCTAATAAATATTTGATACATCTAGGAGCTTTTGTCTTTCTACAGGAACCACTGAGTATTTTAATAAAATATAAAACAACGGTAACTCCGAAAATAAACATTTTAATATTCTGGCTTTCGACTACGATTCAGTCATCATCGGGATTCCTGATGATGACTGAATCTTTGTTGAAAGCTAGAATATTAAAATTTTTATTTTCGGAGTTATCGTTGTTCTATATTTTTTAATATTTTCTGTCTTTGATTCGGGCTTAACAGGTGCAGCTAAACAAGAGCGTTGATTTTAATGTTTAGTTGGCCTTCTTTTATTGCACCGAGCTTCACACGCCTCCAATCATTAACTAGTTTAATTGACCTGTTTCGATATTAATATTTAATGATTTATCAGGCTTTGACTTAAATTAAAAGCTAATACATATTTGTAATTTGATGCAACACAAAATCTATAGGTGCTTTTCTGTCTTGACTCTTCTCATTCACAATTATTAGAATAAATGTTCGGCAAACAGACTCATTTTTTCAATTTGTTGATGCTTCAATCATGCATATTCTGTATTTTCTCAAATAATATGATATAAATATGATGTTAAACATATAGTGTTAATTTTTGCCCATCAGCACGCCAACTCAAATTTTTTTGCTAATTTATACATGGCAACAAACAGTATAATTGTTAACTTTCATTAGTGAGGGCCAGATTAGCGATTTAACCTTGCCCTTGGTTTGTGTTTTGTTGCACATTTTATTTAATAAAAACTTCAGAAACTAAAATTTTTATTGATCTAAACAAGAGTTTTGGAAAAAAATATTTTCATGTTTTTTTCGTTATTGTAAGATTAATCATACAATAACTGGCCCTTACAGTTTAACTCCTGGGCCAGAGAGGAAATGAGCAGGGGCGCCGGAGCCACGGGAGCAGCGGGGGCAGCTGCCTCCGTTGCCTAAACAGTGCGGGGCAGCACGGGGGCAGCAGGTTGCCTTTTTTACCAGAACTGCACTTCGAACGTCGTGCGTTTTTCACATGAATTGAAGTTGAAAACTGTTTTTAACCAATTTAGCTCATATTTGAATCTGAATTCCTCTCAGAAACGTTACCAGTCAGCTTCCACCTATGAAAAAAGGGGAAAAGAAAGCCTTCCTAAACAACTGACAACTGTCATGTTGCTTTACAATACATTTTAGTCTTTAGTGTCATGCAACGAATAAAAATGTTCCAATCCATGCCGAAATTTGTCTAACGTAACGAAGTATCCGTTATACAGCAAGTAACGAAGTATCGTCTACAAGTAACGAAGTATCCGTTATACAAAAAAATGTTAACGAACATTGCCCCCACCCCCCAAAAAAATTAAGGCTCGAGAGTAAGTGCCCTATTTAAATGGCTTCCCCCGCCGCTTCATGTTTCTTCCGGCGCTCCTGGAAATGTTTGAAAGTTGAATTAATCAGGGTCACTCCAGCGATGTTATTTTAGTATGGTATTTTCAGTTCAGTTCTAGTTTAGTTTTAACCATAACTAATTTAGTTTTAGTTTAATTCTATGCTCAGGACAGCCGAGGGAATTCGCGGGGCCCGCGAAAACGTTTTGCGAAGCGTTTGTGGTTGAATTTTACATTAAATTGAAGCTTATAGTAATAGTAATAGTTTATTAAAAAACCCCTTGCAGTAGAAACTGAATTACAGGTCATTACAAAAATCTTATTTACAAATATTATTTACAGTATATAAAACTTATACAAAATTATCTGAGAGGTGTACATAATTTATTATAGTTAAAAATGAATGTATAACTAGACAATAGAGTTATTAGGTTCAACGATCACAGTTGAGGTCGCATACTTAATGGTAACGAATTTCTGAAACCGGTCTGTTCGCAATTCGCATCATGATATTCCTCGCAACATTGTCAGATCTAAGTTTATAACCATGGTTCACTGGTGCTGACCGGCTATGAACAATTGGATAGAGTGGGTTTCCAGGTAGGATTGTCTCCACAAATCTCTTACAGGCGGCGTCCCTCCGTAAGACAAGCGGTTCGATACCAGCTAGTTTTAGGGCATCATCATAGGAACAGTTAGGGTATATTATGGCCAGTGCTCGTTTCTGGACCCTTTCAAGATCGTCGCTAAGGTTTTGAGAAAGGTTGGCGAAAACGACAGAAGCATATTCCAATACTGATCTTATAATTGCACAATAAACACATAGGATGTCTGTTGGGGCTACCCCACTCCTCTTAAGCTTCCTCAACGCATATAAACGCCTATTGGATTTCTTAATAATGTATTCACAATGCACAGACCACGTTAAATCACTGGTAACATACACTCCGAGCAGTTTAAATGATGAAACAGATTCCACGCGTGTTGCACCAATGATGATAGGTTGCAAAACACTAGTATTGAAATGAAGAAAGTTAACAATCATATCTTTACACTTGGCAGGATTCAGCTTCATATTGTTCACTTCAGCAAACGAGTGTATATCTGCCACGATATGATTCATCAAGGAAGGGGAATTTCTAGGTACAATTTCCAAAGCGGTAAGATCATCAACGAACTTAGCACGGGGGTCCCACGCAGACAAAAGTTCATTCACCATTACGGCAAAGAGGATCGGGCCAAGCTTAGTACCTTGTGGAATACCACCATTGATATATTGAAGTGTAGATGCATCCGACCCAATACGAACGAACTGAGACCTTTTATATAAAAAGGCAGCGATCCATCCTAACACAACGTTATGAGTGCCAAGTTTAGATAGTTTATCAAGTAGAATCTTGTGGTCAATCAGATCGAATCCCTTGCGGAAATCAGCAAAGAAAAATCGGAGGGTGCAACCACCCTTGTCAAGGGCCTCGAGGGCTAGATGGAGAATATATACTATAGCCTGTTGCGTAGATTTTCCAGCCATAGCAAATTGTTTGTTATCAGTCCAAGTGACTTATAATGGATGGCATGATTCTCGCTAAGGTGAGACCTATAGCTTCCATCACTTTAGCAATTTCGCAAGTGAGTGAGATGAGTCTGATCCCATTTTCAATGGAGCCCGATGGAGACTGCTTGGGAAGAGGTGTAACAGTTGCTCTCTTTAATAGAGGAGGCAAATAGGCATCACGTAAGGATGAGTTATAAATATCAGCGATTACTGGCGCTAACTCAAAGGCAAACGTTTTTAGAATTACATTTGGGATTCCATCCGGTCCCGGGGCTTTCCCTGTCTTTAAAGAACAAAGGGATTTATAAACTTCGTCAGTTGAAGCCAAGAGATCATCCGCAATACCAGAATCACCAGCAGAATAGTTAGAAACATCGTCCTGTAAGAGAGGCGTAAAATCTTTTGTGAGATTTACAAAGAAATGATTGATTCTTTCGCATAACGTATTAACGGAATCTACAGTTCACCATGAATGAGGTGCTCAAACCATTGGTTATTTCTGTCAGCCATACCAGAAAGATTTTTAACCTCTCTCCACCATTTTCTTGCGTCCGTGACTTTTAGGTTTCTAACTTTAGACTTATAATACGATTCCTTACATTCTTTGATGGATTGAGCAACTTTACTTCTCCAAAATTTGAAGGAAGAGGACTCCTTCCCATATTTTGCCATACATGTTTGCCTTTTCTTAATCAATGATTTTATCTTGCTTGTCATCCAAGGCTTGTCGGAGCGGCATTTACGTATTGCCTTCATAGGTAATATTACTTACGTCCTTGTTCCTCGAGTGAAGAAAAATTCGACATGCGCGAACGACCTGAAACCGTGTTCATACTTCGAGCTAAGAGGCTGTGATCAGGTTGTGTTGCCCGTTTAGTCATGCAAATCGAAAATAGCATGACCAAGGCGTCAAAAACAGCCGCATTGCGCGTACTTGCAGCCGTATTGCGTTGAAACTTGCATATATTTCTAATATTATTACATGAAGTATTACGGTGATTGCTAGATAGTATACTTCAAAATAAGGTTTCCTTTTTTATAACGGAGAAAAAACTATCCTAACACAAAACTAAACCTTAACCCTAATACTAAACCTAACCCTAACCCCAACCTAACCCTAACCTAAACCCAAACCTAACCCTAACTTATTTTAAAATAGATATAAAAACGGAAATCTTATTTTGAAGTATACTATCTAGCAATTGCCGAAGTATTACGATAATAAAAAGTAATGTTGCGTAATCTGTCACAGTCCCCGGGTTGATCATTAAACATGATCAAATGACTAACTTAAACTAAATATGAACTGATGAACATCTTCCTAATGTTTTATGTTTGTTTTGACAGTTTTCGAACAAGTTCTCATTGAACAGCTGCCTTTCTTTTTTGTCGATCTTCTTCTCTTGGGGGGAGGGCTGTAGGCCAAACATTTCCGAATATTTCATGACATTTCTGAATATTTCATATCCGGAAAATGAAGACGCAAGTTACAAACAAAAATACGCATGTTTTACGCACAGACATATTACAGAAGCATGCGGGGCCGTAGGAAGCTCTTTTATAGGGGAGTGAAAACATTTTTAAAGTTGGCGTCTCTGAAATGCCATTTCCTGGACTTTGTGGGAAGTTTTGACAGAATTATGATGTAATAATTTAATAATTTAATAAAAATACCGATTTGTAACCTATTAGGTTAAATTACATCAGTAAAAAGTCTCATTATACTACAATAGAATATCTAGATGCATAAAATTATTCATAACTTCAGTTGAAAAAGTTATAGAGTTCAAATTTAAAAATATTAAAAATATTAAAATTATGGTCTATTCATGTGTGAAACCATCTGTGGAAAAAACGATTTCATAAATCTGTCCGTTTTACAACTATAGTTATTATAATCGCTTCCATAACGTGTATTATAGTTATGTTCAAGTTTAGGCGGTAAGAGGTCACCCAATTTGTCTCCATGTGCATTTTTAACAAAAAAACGTTCGCATAATAATCGCCGCCGATCTTTCAGTAAGGGTATACCAGTAATACTGCAAGCTTCTCTATAAGTAGCGAATGGCAAGACAATACGCAGAGCCCGCTTCTGGAGTTTTTCGATATCTTCACTTAGGTATTCTGTAATATTGAAGTGCCAAACTTGGCAGGCATATTCGAGTACTGGTCTGATAATGGTGCAGTATACCAAAATTAGAATGCTATTGTCGGCATTTGATCGTTTTAACAACCTTAGCATATAAAGGCGTTTTCCCGCTTTTTTAACAATATGGTTCACATGCTCGTTCCATTTCAAATCATCTTGAATTGAAAGACCAAGAATTCGGGCAGATTTTACCCGTTCAATACCAACGTTATTTATAGTTAACGGTAAGAACTCATGTTTTTCTCTTGCAAAGTCAATTACCATTTCCTTACATTTGCCGATGTTGAGCTTCATATTATTAACTTCACACCAATTATAGATAACATTCACTAGATCTTGTAGTTCACTACTCTCAGTTGATGTAACTCGTTCAGCAAACGTACTGTCATCAACATACTTCCATCTATCGCTCCAATCAATAAGAAGATCATTTATCATAACAAGGAACAAAGCCGGCCCTAACACCGACCCTTGCGGCCCTCCACCGTTTAACGTTTGCCAGTCCGAATGACAGTTAGCCAACTTGACTCGTTGTTTACGATCAGAGAGAAAACTTCTAATCCAATTTATAATGGTTTTGAAACACTCATTTGTTGTAGCTTATTCACCAGTATGTTGTGATCTATTCGATCAAAAGCTTTTTCAAAATCAAGCAAGAATACTCTCACCGCATTGCTTGAAGCATCTGTAGCACTCAGGAGGTGATGGATCAGGCTCAGTAGGGCATGGGTAGCCGAGGAATTTTTAACGGAACCAAACTGCCGCGTATCAATCTTTGCACCAATTGACTTAAGTAACCAGTCTGTAACAAACCGTTCGCAAATTTTGGATAAAGCCCAGGTAAGTGAGATAGGGCGCAAATCTTTAGAAATGTCTTTAGGGACTGATTTTTTTGGAACAGGGATAACGTTCGCTTTTTTCCACATTGAGGGTACAACTGCTTCTTGAATCGAAGCGTTGAAAATCGATGCCACAGGGGAAGAAAGAACGTATGCATAAGATTTAAGCACCCAATTAGGTATTCCATCAGGACCAGGTGATTTGGAAACGGGGATGGCGGACAATTTACAGTATACATCTTTTTCTTCGATAATAAACTGTGGAAGGATAG